CCGATGTGGGTTCTGACAGTTTTCTTTGATGCATAAAAATATGTATGTTTTTTATTTCAGGTTTCACTATGGAATTCCAAGCTTTGGGTTAAAATTATGTTTTAGGACGAATCATCCAGAGTTCACAGCCTTTACGAGTTGACAACTTTGACTTTTCAATACTGCGGCAATAAGAGCGAACGAATACTAGCCAAAATACGCAGAGTTGAAACCACTGATTGTGTAAGGAGCTAAACTTAAACGTTACAGAATTCTGAATTCTCTTCTTAAAAACATTAGAAGGGACTTTCTGGGTAGCTACGAACGTCAAGAAAGAAAGCTGTTTCTCAACAGAGTGTAGCTTTTTGTTTCTTGTTACTATCAGCATGTAGGTATTTTGGCTTGATTTTTTTTACCGCCCGCCATGAACCACCATAAAAAAATATATAAATGTCCTGAAAAATAAAACACAGTCAAAGAAATTTTTACTAACCATATTAATTGAAGTTTAGACACACGCAGCCAGTACTCCAACTCTTTGCCCAAGACTTGTCGACTTTAAAGCGTTGCAATTTTAAGGACCGCTGCTTTAAGACAAACAAATTTATCCGCAATACGAAACAAAAACCCCAAGTTGCTGATTGATGGAATATGCACCAATATTGAACTTTGTGTTTGTTCAGCAAATTACTAAAATGATAAAGTTGCCTTTATCTTCTATTTTCTAGTTGACTTCAAATTAAAACAAAACTAACCTTTCAACCAAGCTTATGAAACTTTTATCCTTAGCATTGTGATTCAATTATTGTCTTATCTGGTTAATTATGTCTTCACTTATCAATAACAACTTGAGATTCTGTATGGTGTACTTTTAATTATTTCCCAGAGTTTATTTAATTTCTCCAGAAACCCAGACAAGCAACACTGAACTTACAATCATGATGGTATTTAAAGAAGTATTGAGTTAAAGTTGTAAATGTGGTATCCTTAAAAGTGTACAAATCTTTGATCAGTCCACAATCAAATATATCAGCAACAGTGAATTATTATTATGGCGTTACATCATAACATGTGACGTCATATTAGCCGTATGGTTTTACAAACATTGAATTCTACATATAAAAAATAATGCTGCCTCTAATTTCTATTTATCAATTAAAAACACACAAAACAAGGAATAAGAACCCCAGGGGCAGACTCCCATCCGAAAAGAATAGGGACATGTGATTGTCGGAAATTTTGAAAAGACCCCCTAAGCTGGGTACCAAGATCCTGTTTTGTGAGCGTGGCTTGAGATTTTTTTCACCCGTAAGAGGAACCAATTCTAGAACAATACATTAACTGACACTTTCATAAAGACGATTGCAATGAGACAAAATTATAAATCAGTTGATTGTCAAATATCTCCTGGCATACTTTTTGTGACTCGATACCCTAAAAGGTACCGCAAAATCCCTCGCTGTCGACCTTTTGAGGCTCAAAATACCCTAAGAGAAACCAAAACCGCATTTTTAACGCCTAAAAGGTACGAGGAGCACCCCCGTCCTTTTTATATGGGAGTTTCGCTCGGGGGTAAAAATTGCCAGGAAACTTTAGGGGTAGATTTCCCCACCGTAGCTGCTAATTTAACGTTCTCGCGATTCCACGCGTGAACATGTCAACAAAGCAGAATGAAACTGTCTGATAAATAACTAGTTCTGTGCTGTAATCCTTATTGCAAATTCAGTCTTAAGTAATCAGTGTCTGTATATTTAGACTCATGGAAGAGAGCGGTGTATCATGATAAAATAATATACCCGAATATATGACTCGCTTTAATTCATTGTGTAACAGGACACAAAGTACTGATTATAATAACTCGATTTAGCTGTAAATATAAAACTTTTGCCTTCTCCGAGCATATTTGGGGCCGCGTGATGGTTCGCGTTCTTTCTGTTTTGACTCCTTGGGACAAACTCCATCCTTAGTCAATTGAACGAAATCTGAAAACAAAGGAAGAAAGTGACGCGCATTAGGAATCATTTTGTCGGCGCAAACGTGAAGCAACAATAGTAACTCCCGCCGACAGTTTGCGGCCTACTCATGCAGTGTCAAAGTCATCTCGCTAGTGAGTGGCTTCGAAAATTGACACAACATCCTCTCCCCATATTCTCTCCACCATTCAACCCCCTTCCTTTTGTTTATCCAGCATTATAATCCATCAAATATTTTTGCTGAAACGCGATTTGTCTAAACGCATCACGTGACTGAAGTTTCCCAGCTAAAACTGGGGGGATGTCCGAGGATATTTCCCAGTTTTCAAAACCGCGCGTGTTGCGAAAAACATTTGAAGGATATTAAACACAATAGCCTCTATTTGGCGCGAAAACATGCTCGAATATTTGTCCTTGAACATTATCTGTTCCTCGAAGCGAACAGTTTTCCGAGAG